CTATTTCATTATGGGACAGACCCTTTAACTTTCCTCTGTCTCGTCTATGTACTTTATAGAAGTTTTAGAGTTAAAAGAGATGAGGAGGAGGAAGGCGAGGCGGCGATGGACTGAAGTAAGTTGCGGAATGGAGTTCAGAGTATCTTGGACCGAGGGGGTTAAAAAAATACCTTTTAAACCTTTTTAACTGATAGTATTAATCTGTAATTTTCTTTTACTTTTGGTTAACGGTTAAACGGTTAATATGAACATCCCTAGTTGTTTATGCTCTAACAGCAACATTACACACTAAAGTTCAAAAAGTGAAATCATAATCAACCACCCCTTTAGTAATTTTTTAACAAGTATTTTTCATTGTTAGTTCAAGTTAACTAATATACTTGACTAATGTTAACAAATGGAATTTTATTTAAAAGTGTTACCAATTAAAATACCTACAGGGAAGTGAAACCACTGAATGTCTTGTATTGAAAGGACCACATTAATGTTTGAAATCTACATAAAAATAATCAGACAATCCTCATTTGAGACATGTTTACTGTATTTCATTACAAACTAAGCAAGTATGGAGGGATAGAGAGACATGTCAAGACAGGACAGGTGAGGAATGCATCTAGGAGGAATAATAACAGCTAATAAACAGGAAGTAATGGCTGTAGCCCTGCCTTTGAGTGTTAAATCCTCCAAACATCACTAGCAGACAACACGGATAGATATATAACATGCTTTTTAAATACAAAACAGGAGTGTAGTATCTTTTACCTCCCATGGGCTCTTCCTCCTCTTCAGCTTGTCACACTTTCTCAGTTTGCAGATCTGGTGTCTGATCTTTCGGTTCAGGCAGCTGCTGCAGGTACCACAGTTCTCCTTCCTCATGCAAGGCCCACATAAGCCGCATCTCTTCCTTTTCTTTTTAAGGGGTACCACAGGCTCCATCGGTTCCTGGCCCTCCATCTGAGGCAAGGAGAACATGCCGGCTTGCTCATGCTCAGACCTGATGTAGTCGGCCGCAGGAGACACCACCCTTGCACTCCTGGCCCCGAGGAAAACTTTAGGGTCCTCCTCATCCAGAGAGAATTCATATATGGCCTGGATGGGAGGGCCAGGGCCTCCCCTCAGCTTGTGCATACTGAGGGTCCCACTCTCTTACAGGACAAGAGAGCAGTAAAAGTGGCTGCTAATAGTTTAAAAATACAAGGTAAAAAATAAGGTTCTTTACAGTACAGCACAGACCAGTCCATAAAGAGTGAGTGCTGAGTTAGGGCCACAGGGAAGAATGTCAGGAAAGGGTTTTAAAGGGTGGCGCTGGGCACAAGAGGAACTCCTTACTTTGAGGAGATAGTTCTGGGCATGACGTCATTCACCTGCAGGTGCAGGTACGTACGGAATACAGCTGCAGGTGATGGACAGCATCTCTCTGTTACACAAACTTGATGTCATTTGGATGCAGACAGAAACCAGCTCAAGTCATTGCCACTTAAGGCAGTTTGGGGACTGTATGGAGAGGGGGAAAAAAGTAAGGTTTAGATATATTTCAGTTTTGGTCAAATTAACTATATTGTAAATAAATCAGAATTTATTGTATATATGTATATGCATATTGAGTGAATTATATTTTACAATCAAATATAAGAGCCCATTACAGGTTTTTGTTAAAATTACTATAATATGATAACGTATAATAAATCAACCTATCTATATATCTATCTATATGAATATCTAACTATCTATCTATCTATCTATCTATCTATCTACGTATATGAATATCTATCTACGTATATGAATATCTATCTATCTATATGAATATCTATCTATCTATCAAAGGTCGTAAGTCAAAAGATATTGCCAATACCAGCCTGAAGTCTCATGATCATTGTACAATCTCTTACAATTAAGTGCAAAGGGGGGAAAACACACAAGACACAAAGGTGCTGAATGACGGCAGGTACTACGTGCGAAATGTGAGCAAATTCTCGGTTAGAATGGCGAATCCCCACGAGACAGCTCTCCGTTGCTCTCCACAGCTCTTTGTTTGTCCGCTATGAGTCTCAATGCAGGACTTACGCTCGACGCTCTTTGTTCAGCGCTTGGGGGCCGTCAATAAACTCAAATGTTTTAATGGTAACTACGGGACACGCAGCGCAAGAATTGTGTATTGTTGCTAAGGTATTGTGTAGCTGAGATACGTGAGGAGTCGTTAACGAAACGTTGTGATTTGCAATGGCGCATTGTTTATTCTATAAAGTATCTGTGGAGATAATAGCGCTTTAATGAGGAATCCCTGGCTCGTTTCATGCTTCGATAATTATTAATTCCAACATACTGCAGAGTAATTAAAGCAGCATCGCTCACGAAAGAAAAAACTGGAAGTCATCCACTCTTCTTCCTCTAAGGCATGGCGAGTATGACTTTTAATATTAAGATATACGTTTTACAGTCTAGACTACAGGACTTATTTGGGGAATGAGCAAAATAACCTTATTGGTGTTTTTCAGTTATAGTTCCAGGTACTAGGCTATATAAAGAGTAGGCTGATTGTTTTATTTCATGACAGCTGAACACGATGTGACAATGCTTGCGTAAGCAGAATGTAAGCGCTCGAGTCAGCAAAATAGTTCGGTGTTTTTCGCGCTCTTAAACTTTTATATAATATTTCCATGTTCATCTGCTAACATAATTTACATATATAGCCTACAACGTGTCCCTAACCCGTGTAAAACTCTGCCAGGTACTAGGCTATATAAAGAGTAGGCTGATTGTTTTATTTCATGACAGCTGAACACGATGTGACAATGCTTGCGTAAGCAGAATGTAAGCGCTCGAGTCAGCAAAATAGTTTTTCGCGCTCTTAAACTTTTATATAATATTTCCATGTTCATCTGCTAACATAATTTACATATATAGCCTGCAACGTGTCCCTAACCCGTGTAAAACTCTGTGCATTTATAGAAAGCAGAAGAAAACAGCAAATAAAACGGGAAACGAATGTGGCACGCACACAGAATCAATAATTCTAAAAACATAAGAGACAATATATGCGCGCGTATTGTTCACAACTATTGTCCCATCTTGTGCAGTCTTTTGTGAGTCCAGCAGAAGTACACTGGAAATTGTTACAGTCCTCCTCGACCATGTCAGTCAAGTTTTTATATTGTAGATTTAAGTTTGACTGGAGATATCAAATCAAAGAATCAAAGAACAAAACCTGCTGATTTAGATACAACTAGTTAGACGTGAAATTATACTTACATGTGGAATTGTTTTTGAATGTTACAGAAGGATGGTGGTAACATGGCAATTTCACCCTTGTAGCTAATTTGTAAATGGCTAACGGTGTTATAACTCACCCCGCGATTTTTTGAATGACAAGTAAATGACAGTCATTCTGAGTAGCAAAGAGCAAGTAAATCAGTCTGAACCCTATTAAAAGGGCCAAACGAAACGTATTAATACCCTGGCTTCCGTTGACTACTAAGGAATCCTGCATTATCGTTAAACGGCCCACATATAAAAACCAGTCCAGTCAAGCGTGTCGCACGCGCTCTGAGACTTGAGCACGTGGCTCCTCGCTCAGCCTGGCGCTTTAACTGGCGGCAAAAAGGGAGAGCTGAGGAAAAGGTGTACAAATAAAAATAAAAAACCACTAAAAATACACTACGGCACATAAACGCCTGTATTAGCTTTTCCGATTTATGTCGACAAACAAGTGAGTTTTCCTTGGAAGGGTGAGAGAAACGACACATCAGCAAGCCCCCCACCCACCCAATAAAGAAAACAACACCCCGGGGCGCGCGTTACAGCGCTGGCGGGGGCAATTTCTTCCAAAGTAAAAAAAATAAAAAATACAAGTTCTACAGAAATAGAATGTTGCATTTGTAACGCATTCGCTACATTATAACAACGACAGTTCCAATGTTTTCTGGTGTAGTTACATTAATAGTTCTCATTCTTATCATCACATAATACAGTCGGAAGTTATTAGTAGTCGATGTGTATTGCGCTAATCACCTCATTGGGGACTTACACAACTTACACAGGGGAATACCCAACACTCATTCTTGTAAAACTAAAAGTGTATACCTTTTTTCAAACAGTAAAAGTTTCCAGATGTTAAGAAATAAAATGCAAGGACTTACCAAGCGATGGAAACCTTCTCTGTGCGTCTTGTCAAATCCCATTTAGATTAAAATGGTTTACTTAAAAACAGTACATGCATATACCGTTCCACATGACCAAAACGTCATTACGTTTTATCTTAAAATGCAGTGCAAATGAGAGAAACATGAAAAGTTAATTTGCTGAACGGGTTAAAACCTGCTGAACAGTCAAGGCATGACATGGCGAATTACGCGAGACGAAAAAAGTTGCTATTTCATTATGGGACAGACCCTTTAACTTTCCTCTATGTCTCGTCTATGTACTTTATATAAGTTTTAGAGTTAAAAGAGATGAGGAGGAGGAAGGCGAGGCGGCGAGAGACTGAAGTAAGTTGCGGAATGGAGTTCAGAGTATCTTGGACCGAGGGGGTTAAAATTACGTCATCGCAGTGACTAATGTCATTTGAGCAAAACTTAAGGGAAGCAAAACGTTAAATGCTTTCTTCAAGTCTCGATGGTATATCACGTTGCCAAACCATCTTTTCCACACGGTGACAAGTTAATCTCTAGATATTAACATAATATGTGTATTATTTAATCAGTGTTTCTACAGTTCACCTGGTTTAAGAGAAGCATGCTGCCAAACATGAGGCATTTTGTATATATATATATATTTTCTTTTTATTTCATAGCACTGTAAACAGTTGTATTTATCTGAAAAACAGTATGGAGGAAAGAAAACATCAAAAGAAGCTAAAAACAAAATTCACATATTTCCTACTCAGTGTATATTTCAATCAGTATCCATAAGCAAGCCATCCATATGCAAATCATCAAATCTCTAAAACTGCACTTTATATGACTGGATGGATGCAAGTACTGTGTATCAAGTCCATCGTTTTTAATGCATGTTGCATTCAGGGTAAAACATTAGACAATGAACAATCAAGCATCACGTATCGCATTATTATAGATTGTTATGGTCAGTTATGCTTTAAATAGTTTGATTATTATCAGATAGGCAATAAATAGTAAAAGAAACACATTAAAACAAAAGATGTATACTGTCAAAATACTACAGTAAACAAACAAAGAAAAAGTTCAGTGTTTAACCATTTAGAAATGGTTTAATTTGCACACAATCATTGTGGACAAAGTCAGTCTGTAATGGTAATAATAGATTATTGTTCTGCAATGCAGAAATGAGTCACCTATCGCCTCACTTCTCAGAGGAGGAGAGCACAGATCAATACAGAATAGTGCAGCTCCATCTCATGAAGGAATGAGACTCAGAAATGTGAAGATGGAAATACAGTGTAAAGGAGAGAGTTATAAAACTGGCAATAAAGAATAAACTAAAAAAGGGTATGAAGAGTAGATGGAGGTTTGAGAGCAACAGTCATCCAGAGAAGCTGCAAATAAAATGGACGGAAAGTTTTTAAATAAGATGAGGCTCAGAAATGTAGTTACTGTCCCTTTCACTTGGATGGACCTGTAAAAGCACATTTTGATAGTGTTAATAACAGTATCACCTCTCTGGACGTCACATGCTCCCATTAATGGCCGACAGTCTTACACATTTTCCTGAATTGATCCTGAAATGCATTCCAAAGGACATGTATTTACTCAAACTTGTTCCCTCTATTTGTCCCCATTTTGCCGTAGACCAATTGAATAAATTATGGAATGGAAGAAGAATGAGGTCATCTAGGTTCGGACTTGAAATTTGCCAGCCTTGGTCATGTATTTGATGCCTTTGAAAGGTTTGTACTTCTCGCCATACATGTCCAACCTATTTACTTTCAGACCTGTTGGGTGAAAAAGCAGAAAGCAAACATGTCAGTTGCAAAACAGGTATGTATTTGGCACGATAGAGTCTTTGGGGAAAGGTTGTGACTGCTAAAAGCACTAAATCAATGACCATCAGTCAACGTGAGCTTGAAATGCTCTGTCCTACAGTGCCATGTTACATCAGCAGCTGCACAAACCATCCGTTTCTGAATCAAAACAGCTCCATCTCCAGGCCACATAATAAAATTGTCATGAATGTTCTCAATTGCTCATTCATATGCAGAATTGTGCTTTATTACATTAAAGATTAAAGAAACAATTTACTGACTGAAGGTCAACTGTGAAAATTTCTCTGTTCACCTTTATTTTAACAGAAGAAAATCCTCAAGGTAACCGAAACAAATGTGATATTTTAATAGACTATATATTTGAATGCAATACATTTTATATCCTATGTGGCAAATTCTACAGTGCATAATTAATACACAAAGCATCCAGAAATAAATGTGAACTGAAAGCCTAAGCATATATTTTTTTAAACATGTAATCCATAACTATTGCTGTTTGAAAACTTTTAGTGCGGCTGAAATGCTTTCAATAGTGTATCATATATATGATTTTTGTTATTCTGCTATCTTATTAAACAATCTTAGTAATGTGTTGGGTAACAACTTTAAGTCCTATGTAAAATCTGAAGCAAAATCAGTTAAGAACCCACTAATCTACAGTACCTGAAATGGCCAGCTGTTGAATCTTGAACTGGATGTTGATTGTTGGGTTTTCATCAGGTTTGGAGGCTCCAGTCTGGAGACTCATAGATCCTTTTAAACTGGGCAATTTCTGGGGGTTTATCTTACCCACATCCCATGACAAAAGCTGCAAAAATTGAATAATTGAATCATTTATATGCAGCTACCACCAGGTAAACATTCACATTAAACTAAATCAGAAGATCGATGCGTGTGCTAACAGCATTATATTTTGCTGTGTGTTTCGATCAAAATGTAGAAGAAGAAAAAAATGAGCCCATATTTAGTAAATTATTATGACCTGACTTTTGTCATCATTGAACTAATTATTATCACTTGATCACAGAGAACGTCCTAGCTTCACGTGTGAAAATAAAATGCAAACCGATTTAAAGGAGACATATTATGCCCCTTTTTAACAATATGTAATATAAGTCTCTGGTGTCCCCAGAATGTGTCTGTGAAGTTTCAGCTCAAAATACTGCACAGATCATTTATTATATCATTTTGAAAATGCCTATTTTTAGTGGAAGCAGAAACACGCTGGTTTTCGTACCTGTGTCTTTAAATGCAAATGAGCTGCTGCTCCCCGCCCCCTTTTCCAGAATAGAGCTGTGCCATTACAACTCGGACCTGCTAAAAACATCTGTTTTGGTTCTGATTATCATGTTTATCGCGCTGAAATCATGCGTTTTAAACAATATTAGTTTAAACTTCTGATATACGGTTTTCTGAGAGAACACCTCCGAAGCACACGGACAGAAAGCGGCTGTCACAGCATGTGAGTACTAAACTAAGTTCTCATTCACACACAAGTTTACGTTAAAAACACACATGAGTTACAAAAACAGTCGGTTATGTCTGTGAAGGTAAACAGCTGGGAAATAAATCGCATGTTTATTTTAGATCTGTGTGGCAGCAGCAGTAAATAAATCAATAAATCCACTGCTCTCTGTCTCCTCTGAGGCTGGGACTCTAAATAGT